CCACCACGCCTGAGTGTAACCACACACACCTTCAGCTTTCATCGGTTTTTGTTTGTTTTGATGTGTTGTGGAAACTCGCCGTGTGTTTTTCTACGATCGTGTTTAATAACTGGAGGGCGTGGCTAAAAGAATGATCTCGCTGACTCATCTCGCCGCACACAGGCTGACCATGTGTCGGCCAGCGTGCGGCGAGATTATTTAGTTTAGTTTTTATTACAGCATTTTCACGTGAATTTCATTTTAATATCTTTATTTTCATTTTCCTGTTATTTTAATTTTATTTAAATTGTTATTATAGTTTTATTATGTTTTGTGAGCAAACAGTGTGTGTGGCGAGGCGTCTGCGTGTTCTCCCTGGCGTCGTGCTGCTGATACTGACGCTTCCTTCAGTCTGAAAGATCCTCCAGCCTCAAGGGCGAGCTTTCAGCGGAGCTCCGCCTCTTTCACTGTTTGATGTTCAACTTGTTTTTTCCATTGTAACTTCCTCCATCCTTCAGAGGCGGCGAGGGTTTGTACAGCTGTAAACGATACCTGTGAGAGACTCTGTCCCTCAATGGTTTGCTTCAATTACAACTTTAAGACCTACGTCCATCTGTGATTACAGCTTCTTCATCAAACCCCCAGACATCCGGCTGCAAAGATGGTGCAAAAGGACTCCACCCATTGCACAGCTGGGGGAATTTATGAGGTGTTTATGGGGGAGGACGAGGTGAAACATGCAGAAATGTTTCAGGAAATGAAACGATAAACGTGAGTGCGAGGCTGAGTGCACGCCGCTGGCAGCCAGGAAGCAGATGAGGAGGAACATCTTAGAGCGTCTTTGATGTCGGCGACTCTGACAGGTCGAACGATCCGCTAACAGGAACACTGAGAACAGGAACACTGAGAACAGGAACACTGAGAACGGTGCCTTGCACCGCAGGTCGGAGCCGTTGCCCTGGCAACAGAGTCAGAGAATGGGGGATAGGAGGGGCAGCGGGTTTCCGTGGACGCAGGCAGGATGCGGATGCTGTCCCCACTGTGATGTTTCTGAGGGTATCATCAGTCTGACACGGCTTGCATCACCGTGTGTTCACGCATCATAATGCCTGCTGCTAGGGTCAAAGGTGAAACAGCCTCTTAGAGCTGCAACATTTCACTCCGCAGACTCTGCTGTGAAGCTGCATTTAACTGAATCTAGCTGGACAGGAGTTGACCAATCACAGAACATCTTCAGATACAAACCACTCATCCAAACATCCATCCATCCATCCATCCATCCATCTAAACATCCTTCCATCCAAACATTCATCCATCCA